CTCCGGGGAGCCTGCGGGCTGCATGGCTGAGTCGCACAGATTGCGGGATTTATGATCCCGGCGGCTGGCGAGCTGAAGTTGGAGGAGACTAGGGTTTTGGGGGACCCCGATATAAAGGGTTGCACGTGGGGATGCCTGCATCAGGGGTCACTAAAAGTATACCTCGGCCACGACCAGGAGGCAAACTTCCGAAAGCGGCAGCGTTCATTGTTTGACTCTTAAATCAAATATATGGCGCTGTTGTTTTAAAAAGTCTAAAGCAAACGGAAGTAATCTCATGTAAAGCTGAGGTTTATCAACAAAGTATGAAAGACTTGGTTCTAGTTACTACCTCCTTTTTTGCTCCTGGACCTCCCCACCCCCTTTAATTCTTTTTAAACTTGAGCAACCGCCCCAAATATTGCATTCATCACTAGATTGGGGTGGGGGCAGCGCATTGAGTAGAAGGTATACTCATTATCCTCCACTGTTCCTGATATCTAAGATGATTGAAATCTATGCAAGGATTTCTGGGTGAAAGTAAGAGAACACTAGTTTGGAGAAAATCAAAAGGCTGATGTCTCGTGTGAAGAATTTGGGGAAGTGAGCAATTTGAGAATGTCTTATAATGTTACTTTGGAATGTTATAACAACACTACACCCCTTAAAGTACTGCACTTTTCCAAGACAGAATGGGAAATCTGTGTCAAAATGTTCAAATACGAGTTTGGAATTGAGAAACTGTTAGATACTCCAAATGAGAAACCTGTTAATGTCTTTTTTTTTTATACACTTACAAGACCAAGACGGATACGTTAAAACAACAACAACAGGTAGAATAAAAATAAGAAAAAGAATAAAAATTCACATTGAAAAAATACTTGCAGGTCCTGGCCGCCAAAATGAAAGTATGCCGATGGTGTTTCCTGTGCTGATTTCTAATGGAAATGTTATTGTTAGATGTTCAGTGTCTTTTGGAATTTGAATCAGGATTTTTCTTTTGTTTGGTTTCAGAGATCAGTTCTATTTGCTCTTAGGACAGTGACTCAAAAACAGGTGGGAAATTTTTAGTTTTGAGACAGTCCTGTTGATTTATAGAAGAGACTATTTTAAGGGTGAGCAAGTTATATTTAAATTTGTAGGAAGGTTGTCGTTTAAGATTAGTTGCCTGTTAATCAGTGCATTTCCATTCACCTCTGCCTCAGTTTGAATAGTGACCCAATTTCAGTGCTCTCTGTTTGAGAATTTGTATGTGAGGTGTGTGATGAGCGCTTGTGTGTAAGTCATAGCTATTTTAGGAAAACTGACCACTTCAGCCGCTGTGGCTGGCTGCAGTAGTACTCTTGATTCCTGGCAACCTGCAGAGTGATGACATTTACTGTTCTTCCCAGTGATTTGCCCTACATTGACAGTTGATAAGCTTGGAATGCTTGCTAATGTTTGCCCTTTTCATTTTTGCTAATGTAAAATGTTTGAAGTTAGCAGGTTAGATTTAAGGAATTCAACATGGGGAAAGTACCCCCTTACATCTTGGAAGAATTTAATAGCTTCTTCCTCTCACATGTTAGAATTAATTCTTTATTTTGAATTCTTGAGTCATTCTATCTTTTCCTTAAAGGAGTTTTAATTATTCTCGTTGAGAAGAGCTGTCTCTCTTGACACGGAAGCTATCTAAAACCTATAATGCTTCCCTCCTCCTATTGGTTAGTTGTACAGGACAGACAAAATCCTCTATAGCCTCCCAAGAATTTTAGTGAGAGAAAAATGTAGTACCCTTGAAATATGCTTGCAGTGTGTATTAGAATCCAAGAGTGGACATGTTGTGATACCACTAAATCCCCCAGACTGCAGACTGATTACTTCTAATGCTCACTTGCTGCCAGGTTCCTGTAGTTTAATCAATTCTTGGCTTAGATAAAAGTAGGAAAGTTTTATGTTAACTGTAAGATAAATAACTTGAAGACTTTCTGGTTTTTGTAAGCCTATTGTTCTTGCTAGCAATATCAAAGGTTCACATCATATATTCGCTTTTTTAGTGTAGTAGTTCAGACTGGCCTCCACCTCTGAATGATGGGATTATAGGCATGCACCATCATGATTGGCTTTGGTGGGGGATACCAGGGATCAAACTCAGGTCCCTACACTTGCAAGGCAGGTGTGGTGCCATTGAGCTAAATCCCCAGCCCCATGCTTGGCTTTTTTTGTTGTTGTTAAATAGATATGCAAGTTTTTATTTTTTCCCCAGATAATTTTTAAAAAATTTTAATACACATTTGCAGTACATGTTTTACATTCATTGTGGAGAACATATGACACATTCTTTATGCAAGCTGTAAAAACCTACCAATTTCAGTAAAATTTTAATGATTTTTAAAAATTTATTTATTAGGTTCATTTACTTTTACTTCTGTCTTCAGTAAGTCAAGGATTGGATGGCTGTGTAACTCTTACATTCCCTTAGTGACAGTTGCTGGTTGACAAATTTAGTATGATATGTAGAATTTATTTATTTTTTGAGACAGCTTCTCACTATGTAGTTCAGGCTGGCCTTCAACCTACTTGGTAGCCCAGGCTGACCTTGAACTTGCTGTGATAACCCTGTGTCAGCCCCCTGGATTGCTGGGATTACAGACGTGCACCACCGTGCCTGTACAGAATTTATGAGGCAATGGCACATGTGTCACAATGGTGTTGCCTGTATCGCTGAAAGCTCTCACAGGTCCGCCATTACAGCCTTAGTTGATAGACCCATTGTTCTGGGCCAGAACCTTTCTATTACTCTCTTAATGTCTTTTCTGGAACTCTTCTTTTAGTGTTTTAAACTTCTGCCTCCAGCCCCATACAGGACCTTCTTTGCCCCTTAACTGAGCTCCTTGATGTCTGTAGAGAGGTCCCTGTTTCCTGTTCAGTTCAGTCCTGCTCTCCAGCATCTCCTCTCTTTTCTCTTATTTCAGTGGAAGAATTGTATTTGCTTGTTTTCCTTCATTTTTTGGAGATAAAACTAGATCAGTGATTTTTACATGTGAGAGATTTTGTTGTTTTGAGACAAATCTGCTATGTAATTCAGACTGGCTTTGAACTCAACTATGTAGTCAAGGCTATCTTTGAATTTGTGTTAGTCCTCCTGCCTCAGCCTCTTGAGTACTGGGATTATAGGTAGGTGCCACCAAGCCTATCTATGGTGAGAGGTTTTACACTCTGGGCCTCATATGGCAATATTTGGGACTGAAAAAAAATTTTTTTATTGTTGCTTTTGTTTTGTTTTTGGTACCGGCGATTGAACTCTGGACCTTGCACTTGCTAGGCAGGCACAATACCACTGAGCTAAATCCTCGGCCCCTTAAAAAAATTTTTGGACATGGTTTAGATTGTGATTATGGGGGAGGGCACTACTGGCATCTAGAGGGTAAATGTTAGGAATGCTGTTAAATAACTGCAGTGAAAAGCCATAGCCACCCTCCATCCCCCAGTGAAGTTTTATGTGGCCCCATGTAAATATATTGAGCTTGAGAAACCCTGTTCTAGATGATGTTGCTGCTCAATCCCTTAGGTTACCTCGCTTCTATCTTTGTCTACTCTGCAAAACCTTCTCTGGCGATCACTCTTGCTACTCTCATGGACCATATATCATATACATGGACCAGCACCATCTGTACCATATATCACCTAAGATTTAGAATTCCACAGAGCTCCTCCAGCTAATTGTGTCCACTGCTTCCCAGTTCTGTTTCGAGTGATCTTATGTTGAGTTTGAAGCCACCAGGGTAGAACTATTGATTCTAAGGAAATAAGCATGTGCTGCAAATCCAGAACACCAGTGATCACTTGGATGTGCACCCTAGTCCCATTGAGTCTGACTCTGCCTTTGACAAGATCCCTAGTTGATTCACTTGCACACTAAATTTGAGAAGCTTGTGTCTAGAGTTCCCATTCTGTGCACGTATTGCTGTTCATTCCTGAAACATCAATGACAATACAGCTCTTCGCTGCCCTCTCCAACTGTTGTCTTGTTCACTTCATTTCACAACATTTTATTACCTTTGGAACAAAATTTCTAATCCCCTTCTCCACCTATTTCTTCTGAAATATTCTCAGTGACAATATAATTCTAGTTTAATATAGAAAATTTGGAAAATAACAAATCTGAGTAGGATTAACTCTTAGCTGATAGGAGGTAAGGCACATTGGTTCCTAGATTCAGCAGAGATTGAGGTGCCACCAATAACTTCTGCAAAGGTTCAGGTAGAGAAGGCTGTGGAGACCACACTGGGCGCCAGCAAGAGGGGGACTGATCACCCAGAGGCCTGCAGGCAAGCTGACTAGACACTGGCAGGCTTGCTAGGTTGTAGGGCAGTCACTGGTTTTATGTAATCAGCATCTGTTAAGTTGCCAAAAGAAGATTTTAATAAGAATTTGTTAATGCATGAAACACCTCCTCTCAGAGGTGACTAATTACTGACCACGTTAGTCAAGTCAGTAGCCTTTCAGTAGTAATTCTTTTGACCATTCTCCCTTGGTTATTCAAATAGCCACTTCAAAGTCTCATTCTCAAGATTTAATTACTTATTTGTTGCTTTATA